AATATCAGAAAAATCGCAACGCCAGTCGTAAATTAGTAAACACAAAACTTTATAGATCTTTTAGTTTTAGTGTTGAACAAAAATGCCATTTATTTTTTATGCCATATTTGATAAAAAAGAAATGGCATTTTTATTCTACTAGGTACTTGTTTTTTTTTCATCTTGAACTGAAATCGAGTTATTTAAAAGGGCGTAGAGCCTTTTCAAACGAATAGTAGCCATTATTCGGATTTATACTTTCAAAGGCTGTAAGGTCTTTTAATAACTCTCAGTCATCTTTTGACCCGGAAAGTCAGAGCCTGAATTCAATAATAAAAGTAGGTAACTTTATATAATACTTTATGGCAGTAATATTTTCTACGATCTTAGATGTAGTGGCATGTCTTAGGTAAGTTTTATTTTGTAATCTCTTTGTCTTTGTTCAAAATATTTGAGAAATATAAACAACAGAATAGCCACCCTTGTCTCACAGGTAGGTACCAACTAAATTGTCGCGCCATATTTTCGATTAGGTTAATCGGTTCGACGCATTTATTATAATAACTTTATAGCCTAACTATCTGTTACGAACATCTAATTCAATCGAAACCATGAATAATGGACGAAATAATGTCACGGTATGAAATAAACGAAATAATAGAAAAAAAATTATTATCAATAATTATTCGATGTCTATACCGGCGGAAATTGGGCGCAATTGGTCGTTGGCGCGAGCGGGAAAGCGTACAACATGGCGTCGGTTCCGGTACCGATTTATAGGAAATATTATTGGAACTAATGACACGGATTAGGCAATTGAAATATTCCTAGTATTTTTTTTATTTATCTATTTTATTACCTACGAAGTTACATGGCGAAGGAGTTGTAACTATTTACTTTATTCCACATGGAATTAAAGTACCTACTTAAATTTTTATTTTTAGTACTTTGGTCATCGTTTTTTGATAATTCTAAAATTGCTTAACGTTTGGGCATTTCGACTAATAATAAAACTACCTTAAAACCCTACCGTTTTCACTACTTAACTATTATTGTAAATTTAGAAGATGTATCTACCTAGGTAGACATTTATGTAGTTCCCAATATAGATAATCTATATTAAAGACTTCATATATTACGTATAAATTAGATCTTTAACTTAGTACATACATACCCTTTAAAAATGAAACGTAATACCTAATTAAAATACTTAATGTATTGATGTGTACAGTAATTTACGAGAATGACTTTTACTCCACTGTTATTTACGTCTCAAAATAACAATGACGGTATTTAATTTCATACCCCAACAACAAACATTGCCCACCCTACTTGACAGGCCGAATGAGTGTCAGTCTCATAAAAACTAAACTCAATGTCAAATTAGATTACTTTTTCCACGCGGGTCGCCCCGAACCACGGTGCGTGAAGTTGTGCGGAAACTAAACGTCATACAAGATGGCCGACGTAACGGTGCGACGGGATATTTCTATAGGGATTTTCTTAACACCGTATTTGAGAACTTTACGAAAAAAATTGCACAATTTACTTATTTAAAATTCAAAGTGGATAGGAACCTGGTTCATACTTATTTGAAATGTATGAAAAATTATGCTCAATATATTTTTTTGTTGGAATTAAAGTTTCATCAATGATTAAAATGTAGAAAGTAAAAGATGTTTTTAGTTCGAGTAGAGAGAGTTATGTCACTAGATTTTTTTAAATAAAAAAGAGTATAAATTGGAATCTGCTCATCAGAAGGGTGTACTTGACGTCCTACGCTTCTAAAGTGAATCAAAATGTCACCAAAATGATAAAGTGTTAACATTTATTTCAGTACTTGGGGTTTTGATGGAGTCCGGAAAATACAATATTCCCCATGATAACGATATAGAATAAGATTATTCCATTAAAATCTAAGGTATATGTCATCTTCAAGAAACATCTTATCTAGGTAGTTAGGTGTGATGAAGGTAAAATACCTAAGGAACTATTGCCTACCTCAGCTTGTGACCACAGCCAGTGTGATCTGGTCCAAACGTCAGGCAATTCAAAAGTAGATATGTAGCATTTATTCCAGTAGGTAGGTTCCTATTTATTACAAATGCCTAGGTATCTTGGACCATGGTAGTTTAAAAGTTAGTGAGTACCTGTCTAGCCTCACCTACTAGGTAAGTAATAAGTAGATAGATACCTCACACATGGCCGTCTGAACTTGAACTAGAAAAGGCTTGTATTACGGTAATTAGCTGCTAATAAACATACATACATACTTCTAAATACACAAAATATTGTAGATAAACAGACACAAAACAAATGATCATGCTCATTACACAACTTTTCGCCCAAGGTGGGAATCGAACCCACAGCTACTACTACAATGAGGACCAGTAACTACAAGATCAACAGTATTTTTTTCTTTATTTTTATGGTTTAAGGGGGCAAACGAGCAGACCGGTCACCTGATGGTAAGCAACTATCGCCGCCCATGGACACGTGCAACTCAAAAGTCACAAGTGCGCTTCTGCCTTCGGAGTTCCTGCCGCTCGAGTCAAATAACTAGTAATTAACGCTTATTCTTACAGTTAAGATTAAAAAGCAGAAGACCTTACTGTAGTCCGTTTTTTAATCTCAGAGATCAAAGTGCCACATGCAACTGTCAAATTTAGAAATATTGATGGCAGCTCTTTTGCGCAGTGGTGTCCTACGATACCGGTTTGTTAATTAGTAACTTTTTATCTTTATTAGACGATTAGCTTTAACAAACGTTTAAAGTTCACCATTTTAATTTTTTTATTTATTAAGTAGAGAAAGAAAGCAATATTAAATAATAGAAAAATTGATAATTTTCTTAGGTAGTAAACCTGCTCTATACTTTGACCGACGATAGGAAATAATAAAACATTGGTTACCAATAAAAAAGGGGGCAAAAAAATATATAATAATATTGTTATTTACCTATAATTATAATTAAAAACATTTGTTTCATATTATATTGAATATCTGTAAATTCTTTATTCGCCTATAATAATAAATTTATTCACCTATAATTAATAAATAAATCATATTTAGAATCAATCAATCTATGAATCATACAAATATCTAGGTAGGTAATCGTCACATGTGGGAATCGAACCACGGCTTTCCGTGTACCTAGTCATCATTTCCACGTCCATTATGAATAATAAATATAGCTTGTGTCTAATTAAAGGTAAATCAAAAAGCGAAGTTAAGTACTGGCATACGTTTTTAATGGGTAGGTTGGCACCAAAGCTTTATTAAACTTAGCAATGGTAATTAGGTAGGCAGTCGAGCAAACTTAAATAGAGTAGAATTTATAAGTACCTAATACCTACCTAGATATTTAACTAGGTAAGTTACATTCATACAGATTGGGTTTCTTAAAATTAAATTCGTAATGTTTATTCTGTTTATTACTCATGCTATGTTATAGAAGATTGCACCTCTATAATCCAGGGGACACTGAAAATCAGGACCATGTCAATCACAGTAAATGCTGAGGGTCCACCTATTTTGTGGGACACAACGCTCATCAAGTTAGGTTATCGATGTAGTAGAGAGGCTTACTTGATTAGGTAATCAAGTAAGCCTCTACGTAAGGTCTAGCCTCTTTATGTAGGTATACACAATAGGTATGTTAAATAATTGGACATGTTTCTTTTGTCTTTGTTTTTAAGATAACCTAGAAATAATAGTGATCACCACGTCAAGGCCACGTCATATATGACCACTACTACAGTAAACAATATGACATCGCCTTGTTTTGTACATAGGTAACTAAGATCATGCAAGCATCAAAAACGTAATTACTACCTAATTATATTAAAGTAGGTATTCTCTGTTTTTTTGTTCCTTTCAAGTTGCAGGTATGCTGTTTTTTTACAAAATAAAGTTTTTTCTATATCTAGGTATATATTTACAGGGTAGGTAGGTATTGACTTCCTTTCTAGGGTATACCTGGTTCCCCGGCTATTAGTACCTGAGACGGCGTGCGGTTTTAGTCGGTATCGAGTCCGACATGCCACCGATAGGTGGTACCTATCCGAGGGGATTTCCGAACGGAAAAAAAAAGGGTAGGTAGGTATACTCTTTTCCTCCCTTTATATTTGTTGTTGTGGTTTCTCTAATAGGTAGGTAGGTATCTACTGGCACACTCTTAAAGAGTAAGTACTTAGGTACTAAAGAAAGTCTGAAAACAACTAGGTATCGTGTGTGGAAAAATGCTCTAGGTAATGATCATCACTCGCAAAAACATCGCGTTTGTGGGTAAGCATTACCTACACAAATACAAATCTCTGTTGCTTATCTAAGCGTATTAGTACCCAACCGTTTTCTATAACATGTAAAATATACTGGTTTACCACGCCAGTGATTTAAAAAGAAACAAATAGATCGGTGAGTAATAATTTATCTAAGTACGGGACCACCTGCGCAATTCCTTTGGGAGCTAATCACTGGATATGAAATTGCTAGAGAGTTTTATCAACTAACAGAAATCAACGAACGATCAAACAAATGTACGAAAGTGGCAATTTCTCCAGTGACAAACGTCGGCCTTATCGACGCTAAATAATGGCGCGAGTAGTTAGACTTGCGTCTTCATCCCGGTAATTAACCGGCATCCCCCCCTATCTCCCGCACCCCACGCCCCGCGCCGCACAAACCACCCGCGCACACCCAAATTAATCACACCACGAATCTCGCCCCCAATCCAGGTCCGGATTAAAAAGTTTTATTGGAGAGCCAAGTGTGACACTTCGGCGCGCCTCTGTCGATACCGCTCTCCAATCACAACCCGCCCGCAATATAATCTCAACCTCCGATTGGCTGCGAGGCGGCCAGCCCCGCCTACCTTCACCGCCCGAGCATGGGCTGTCACCCGCCACGTCAGTTGACCGAGGCGCGTCGACCCGTCAGCCGTATCTCGCGTTGCCCGTATCTGTGAGACAAACAATCAATATTTCGATATTTGTGACTGTTGTGTGATGGATCTGTGAAAGATGGAGGAGGAGTCGATGTCAGGACACAGCTGTTCGGAAGACGATATCAGTGTGGGGCGCCCGTCGCCGGCTCCGTCGCGATCTCCTTCGCCACATGATTACTTCAGGCCACTGAAACGGTTGAAGATGGCTTCAGAGCCTGGGGAGGAGCGTAGAGGCGAAGGGGTTAAGAGTTTTTCAATTTTGGACATTCTGAGTCACAGCCCTCGTACTCCGCCGCGTATTGTGCGTCCATGGGATGCGTCAGGGTTGGAACGGTTGCAGCGGCTTCAGAGACTTGCCGGTGCGGCGTTATTAGACGGCGAACGATGGCGTTTGGCAGCCCTAGGGTTACTTCGGCCTCGGGACCTAGGATCGGCGGAATGCTGCGACTCAGCGAGCGAGCGGTCATCGTCGGCCTCCGACTGCTGTTCGGAGCCGCGGCGCGCGCCGCAGCAAGGTTCGGCGGCTCCTCACACGCCGCTCGATGCTCTCTTCCACATGACTAGCAAGACCTTCGAAGCCAATAATGCTGACAATGGAGGTACGTCACACTCTTATTCACCTGGAGCCATAGCCTTAAATTTTTTATTTTAATTCCAACATTGAGATTTAAGCGTTTTTCCAGAGTTCGAAGTTTGCCTTTATCTCTATGATCTGTAGAGCTTTGGTTTTACTTTATGTATATACTAATAAGAGATCTTAGTACTTAGGAAATTATAGCTGAGAAACTAATAAAGTATAATTTGTAGGTACCTAACAAGTAAAATTAGAGAGCAGAGAAAACATAGGAGGGCGCGCATCTATGAATGACTTAAGTTTTCAATTAACTTGCGCTTCAGTAAAAAAATAAATATTTAAATCATCTGCCTACATAAATCAATGTTATAAGTACATAATTATATAGGTAATATAAAAGTCTTTTGTGCTCATGCAAATACGAGATATTAAATGTAAATAGTTATAGTGTCACTACACAGTATAAGCACTATAATAAAACCATATACCTACTTGTATCTAAAAGACGAAATATCTACCTACCTACCTCTTTGCGTTAAATATTATAAAATACCTAGTTGTAACTTTAAGAAGTCTATGTTTTACAATAAGAAAAATTGGTAAAATCAAACAAAAGTAGGTATAGGTAAATAAATTTTACAATTTTACAATTACTTACACCTACGATAGTTATGTAGGTAAATAATTAAGTTTTGTCTTTTTAATCATTTAACTATTAATTAATACATTACAATAAAACAGACATATTAAAACATTAATAATTTTAATATTTAAGTTGACATAAATTATATCAACCTTTATTCAAATTTATACTGATAAGCTTCAATTTACTGTTAAAATGCTTCAGGTATATCCTGGTAAAATTACAAAATATTTTAAATGACACCTAGGTATAACACAATGTTTTCTAGTGTGTACTTACTGTGGATTCTAAATAAACCTACATAGCTAAATGTTTTTTTTATAAATAAATACAAAAATATTTTAAAAAGTAAAAACCAAACCAATAGATACTTACAAATTATGTACATATCTACTCAATACTCATGGACATAAAATAAAATATTGCGTTCCATGGTAACCGAACCCGCAGCCTTAACTATACTTGTAACACTACACAATAGGTATTGATCGTCAAATACGTTTTTCAGACCCATAGCTACAATTAGTAATTAACAAGTCCGTGTGGTGACGGATTAAGAATACAAATTGTCACCACCCCAATTCATCCCGTGGGTGTCGTAAGAGCCGACTAAGGGAGCAAACTAAGCAGGACAACAGCACTGCAAAGAGAAGGAAAACTTGAAACAAACCCTATACCAACCCGTCTGGCCAGCGTGGTATAGTAGGCCAAAACCTCCTTTCTAAGGAGAGGCTTATGTCCAGCAGTGGACTAGTATAGGCTGTTGATGTATGATGAGTAATTAACAAGTACAAAATGATAACCCTGGCACGGGCGCCTTTTTCACGCTACAATTCATTACAAGTACCGTTGCAACTCTGATCTATTGTTCATAGCTCTAATTAATTGCACTAATTAACGGCCTTTGGTGGCCAATAAGCCGAGACTGAAGTCACCATTATGTTTTCAACACGCGTAGGTATATCTTTTTTAGATAAACTGTATTATAATTTGCATGGTAACTGGTCAATGATCATAAGTAATATTTTTTTTACATTTGGCCTGAGACACTCTTAATTGAATAGGAATATCCAGGATACAGGTTTTTGTTTTTTTATTTTTTATTAAATTAATACAAATCAAATAGGTACCTCTACCATCTAAATAAGTGATTTAAAAAATTTCATTCCACTATAAATTGAATATTGTTTCACATTTATGTTTTTTCAAATTTAAATTCGTAATACCTACCTAATGTTTTCTTTTGAGGTTCTTATTTAACAGACCACTATTTTATACATTTTGAATTGTTTAATTACTGAACTAATTTCTTCAAAAACACATTTAAACAGTTTAGTGATAAGATAAGATAAGATAAGTTATATTTAAGTCGGTATATTTCATTATTGTAATAGAACAGACAAACTTAACAACGTATGAAGACTACCTATAAGTAAGATTAAAAAAACTCTCAGTAGTTGCTATAACGTAAATAATATCATTTAAAAGCTATGTAACTTTTCTACAGGCCTTTTAGATACAGGCATGTTCTTGTTGTCACAAAACTTGCTGAAACAAAAAATAACCAATGGCATTTCTATTCTTGTAGAAGTGAATTGCAGGAATTGCAGGAAAGCAGAAAGAAAGAAAGATATTACACATTAAATAAAAAGATACCTAGGTACAGTCGCAAAATTAGGTAAAAGGGCGTAGACATCGCTATATAATCTGTCTGAGAATATTAGTGTAATATTCTTACAAGATAACATAACCTACACTACCTTATTAATTACAATTTAGTTTAATCTTAATAACAAAAAAAAACAAAGAAAGTTTCGGAAGAAATTTGTTTGTAAAACATTGTACCTACAGTAAAATAAAGTAGGTATATGCACACTCAAAACTGCCTGCAAAGTGGTAGCGTATGCGACTGCTGTGCTGAGGTCTCGAGTTCGATTCCCGGGTCGAACCAAGTGTTTGTATGATCTGCAAATATTTGTTTCGGAGTTTGGGTGTTTTCTATGTATAATATATAAGTATTTACAAAAAAAGTATATAAGTATTCTATCGGTCAATCTAGCTTTCATAGTACAAGCTCTGCTTAGTTTGAAACTAGATGGCTTTGTGAGTCAGATGTCAAAAATATAAAAACAATGGGGGTATAAATTAAAAATAAACTTCATCCTGCTGGTAACTACGACAAAGATATACAGTACATAAGTTTTTTAAGAAGAGCATGATCAAAACTGTCTCTGTTTTGTATTTGAAAGACACATAGTAAAATTTGTGCTGAAATTGTACCTCACTCATTGTTCCGACTCTCCGGCAGACTAAGGACTACTATTTTTTCTTTCTTGTAGTTACTAAGGGGTCGTCGGCTTTTCTAAATTTCCTTACATCATTCGTGTAAAACATGTTGTTGTAATTCGCATTCACAAATAGTATACTTATCTATTTGTAAATGCGTTTTTATAAATTTATACATTTACATACTCGTACGTACATAAATTGGTAAAAAATATAAAATTATGTTTTTGTACTCTTATTGTCTTCTTTTCGATTTATCAGGATAACACTGTCAACATCGCCGGTATCTGCTTCCATGGTAAACGTTTACACTATTGCATTTTATCATATATCATTTTGTAAATAAGATGATGCAGATAAGAGAATATGTTTCATAATTAGGTTAATCCCCGTGTAATTATAATTATTCTTAAATTACATCTTTAAAGCAAAAGCAATTGCTTTTTCAATAAACAGTTAAAGAAAAATCTAAAATGTAAAACTTACAGCAAAATTACAGTTCAAATTTAATAAAGTAGGAGGTTATTAATTCTGACAGACAATTGTCTCTTTAGATCCTTTTAATACATCTCCAGACCGTCACTTAGGTTCCTATACATGCCATAAAACTAATTATAGAACGTTGTTAACGGCTGGCGAGTCTTAAAAAATGAGAAAATTAATCACATCATCACTACACGAAGTCATAAACAATGCTTAAACCATAAATAAATCCTAATGAAGAGTGAATAACAGTTTATTTATCCGTTTTTGAAATTGAATTGTCATTAGCATGTCAAGTACCGACGTAATATGTATTTGATGATAGTATTTTATTCAAACAATGTTAAATTTTAAGACGCGCAATCAACTATGTACATACTTAAAAAAAGAAACAAAGAAAAGAATAAAAATGTATTGTTAATGCAGATAATTAGTTTCTTTGCTTATGGTTTTTTTGTAAAAATGACAACTCCGGCAGTAGAAACAAATCCTGTGTCGCGTTAAAATATTATATAATTATTATTATTGATGAATAGAATGACTGTACTTGTTTAATTAGTTTACCGTAGAGAAGTAAACCTCATTATTCCCTAACGCCAATTTTTATTGTTTGTGTAACAATCGGCTTAGTAATCTTCACTTAAGAAATGTTTGAATTTTAAGTAAGCAAAAAAGAAAATGAGAATTCCAAAAACAAAACGTAAGTAGCTCAGTTACCTGTCACATTGATAAACAATGGGTTCTAAGTTCTAAAGAATGTGTTTACAACAGTTAGTTTATGTTTTTAAGTATAATTTCACACAAATCCGGATCATCGATTTATTTCTTTAATATTGAAGACTAGAATTAGCATTTTAGCAGGATTATTATATTGCAATGGTTTTTCACTGTTTTATTACAAAAAACTACACAATTAATTTTTAAAGAAAAAAAACTTTGAAGTCACACGATTTATCTTTAATTTATGCATTTCTAATTTCTAAAACTTAAATCGATTAAAATATCAAATTAATTACACCTTTTAATAATCGAGTATGCAAATACACTTACTAAATACACTTCTCAAATTTTAAATGTTTTAACGAGGTCTAGAATTTTTTTACTCTAAATGTCTATAGTTTTAGTTTTTAGTTGTGAATAGTTGCCAATTTCACTGTCTTGGCAAATAGTGAACAGATAGAAATTCTCAATTAGTATACTCTTATCTACGTAGGTATAGATTGATTACAATTGTGGCGACTTCCACATGCAGTAAAACGAAGAAACATACTACAGCGCCATCTAACACACACACTAGACACACCGAACTACGGAGTAACTCCAGAATGAGAATTGTTAATCCTATATCGCGATAAGAAGAATTCTCTCGCCGATAAATATATATACAACCTCCCAACAGCAACCGCCTGGTCGGAGGATCCTCCCTTTGTGTTGGAGGGACATGAGACCCGTTCCTCCACACAATCAATAACATTTTTTTTTTAATTTTGGAAACCATTCTTATAGTGTTATTTAAGAAATAATTAAATTAATGTTAGGTTGATAGGTAACAAATGTTGCAAGAGTGTCACAATTGCTATGTATGCATGAAATAAACAATGCAATATCAATTTGTCGATGGTTATCGATGAAGATGTCGGCTATCGGTAAACACGGCGGGTGTTAT